CACCATGAATTACAAAGTTGATTTGGGGGCACATTTTCCAATGCTTGTGCCCAGATGCCCCAATTACTACTTATGGTTCCACTTCTGCAGCTACCACATGTAGAAGAAGCAGCCAGAAATAAAAACATATGATCAAAATGTCTAGACCATGGGTTGCTCTTCACTGACTACAAGGTGCAAACCGAGTCACTGTTTTTTCAGTTTCCTAAACCAGAGGTGACTAACTGGAGCAATGCAATATCACTTTAGAATTTAATAAGTTTCCTTGTCATCATAGACAGCTTGGAATTCTACGCAGGTGAGCAAATAAGATGACATAGGAGCGTTGATGCCCTGCTCCAACAGTCCTTGATTCATTTTAAAAAATGAATCGTATACATCTTACTTGATTCATTAAAAAAAACCTGTCAAAAAGCTGTTACTTTGCCAATAATCATGTGACTACCCAATGTGGGATGTAGAAAGGGGACTGTCTTTTGCATCTTGGCACAGTAGTTAAACTGCTGTACTGCAGCCTAAACTGTGCTCATGACCCGGGGTTCAATCCCTGGTAGCCGGCTCAAAGTTGACTCAGCCTTCTATCCTTCTGAGGTCAGTAAAATGAGTACCCAGCTTGTTGGGGGGGGGGGCAATGTGTAGCCTGCATAATTAACTTGTAAACTGCCCAGAGAGTGCTTAAAGCACTATCAGGCAGTATATAAGCTGCATGCTTTTTGCTTTGCATGAACAAACAAATCATTAGCTTCTCAACAGTCAAGCAAAACAAAAAATGTAGGCCAAAAACTTGCAGTTACTGCAACGCTACCTAAAGCAATTATTTCATAAGCTCAACCAAATTTAAACCACTGAGAAAAAAAGTCCAAAGTTTCAACAATAAGAGATGGAATGATGTTTTAATTTAATTTCTATACTGGTCAATAGCATAAACTTTCAGAACACCTTGTAAGAAAAAAAAATATGTTTGCTCACATCTTGAAACTAGTTTTTAAAAAGTCTTTTTTAACAAACTGAGCCAAGTTTTTGGAAGTGCCTAGCTAAGTTCACAAATGCTAAGAAGCAACTGACGAAACCAAGAGGGCAGAATCAATTAAAAGCTTCATAGAATTTTTAAGGGTCTAATTGTACACTTGACAAAGAACCTTTATAATGTGCAGAAGAAATAGAAATCTGAAGGCCTCTAGAGAGGGGGGGGGAGACAAATCTGAAACAAAAGCATTTGTCTCTCCCAGCCCCACCCTTAGATATTGGGGAGGGTCCAAGAAATGGAAACAAGCTGAAAAAATGAACTGGAGAACAATTACTAAAATGTTTAAGATAAAGTAGGCAGCATGCCATTACCTACATACACTAGCATAAGTCAAAAGTAGCAAAGTGCCTCTAATTAAAGAATAAATACTGGCATTCTTTGTTGCACACTAAGTCATGCAATGAGGAATACATGTGTTGATTCCTTAGTGACAGCTGCAATTTACACCATTTGACATAACAGAATACTGTACTATAAATAACAATATGCTAGCTAGTGTTTTTATTTTGCTATCTGGTCTTTCCTCCCCCAAGAGAACTTCTAAACACAATAAGGTGTCAATGCTGGAAAGAAACTTTGAAATATTACATGACACAGAACATCCTCAGGCTCTAGGTTAAGCAATACAATAATGTTTTACCAAAACTCTTTCTCCTAGAATATAGTGGCAAAAGGCAGTGTTTTTGCACCACACAGCAGCTCATTCCTCTTGTTTTTTCCCCTACATCAGACTACTCCATCTTCTTAAGCATGGAAAAAGTTAGAAATGATGTGATTGGAAATGATTACACCAAATCCAGAAATACAGTGGTGCCTCGCTTAGCGATTGCTTCGTTTAACGATGAAATCGTTTAGCGATGACTTTTTCGGAGCGATCTTGCGCTCCGTTTCACAATGGTTCCTATGGGCGATTTTCGCATAGTGATGTTTGGGACCATGCTTTGCATAGCGATGACAGTTTGGGTCCCCGTTTCGCTTAACAATGGTTTTGACAGCCTCATCTTGGCTGTTTTTTAAATGTTTAAAAATGTTTTTAAAATGTTTAGAATGTTTGAAATCATAAGTGCACTTAGTAAACCCTTTGTTAAACTAATTTGACTTTGTGCCGACTCTTTTTAAATTTGTTGTAATTTTTCCCCCATTGAGATGCATTGAATAGGTTTCAATGCATTTCAATGGGGAAACCGTGTTTCACTTAGTGATGTTTCCTATGGCGATTTTCGCTTAAGGACAGCAATCCGTTCCCATTAGAACGGATTATCTACTTTTCAATGCATTTCTATGGGAAACCGTGTTTCGCTTAGCGATGAAATCGCTTAACAGCGATTTTTTGGGAACCAATTATCATCGTTAAGCGAGGCACCACTGTAAACTGACATGAAAGGGCAAAGAAATCTCACCTCAATCAAGGCAATCTTTCAGCTTTTAAATGTTCATGATTAATATGATAAAAACAAAGGATTAGAAGCAGAAAACATTAATAGTAGTAAGGTAAAGGTAGTTTCCCCTTGACAAATTGGCCAGTTGTGTCCGACTCTAGGGGGCAGTGCTCATCCCAATTTCCAAGCCATAGAGCCAGCGTTTTGTATTCAAGTTTGTATTCATGTTTCCACCAGATTCTTCATGGGAAAGGGGAGTAGTAACTAACTACCATGGATGCCTCCTTTGAAATGTCTCTGTAAGCAAACTATACTTCTAAATTTAATATATCCAAACATAACATATTTGCTCATAAATTATCTATAATGCATATAATGCAGTTTATGTTCTTAAACTAACAGTTATTTTAAATCTGTATATGGTGCTTTTAAAAGTACTGTGCATTTCTTTGACTATTTCCATCTCCTCAGAGAGAAAAATGGCTTTTATATGGCTTCAACATTTCAATAAGTTTTTAGATATCTGCAAATAAAATGTAATTTCTCTTAGGACCTCAAATATCATTCACATTTCTATATAAATTAATGTTCAGCTGTCATATATTCTACATGTCCACATGATTTGACCTAAAAAGAGTCACTCTGAGGTCCGCAAAACCACAGTGATTTCTTAATATCCCTGCTGCATTATACAGTGATTCAAATACCAAGGTTATCAGGATGGTGGTTTCCCTGAGAGCTCTACAATATTGTAGCTTAAACTGAAAGTCAGTAATATCTTGTTGATAACTGTTTGCGCGCATGAAATATAGTCTTTTATTGGCATCAACAAGACAGAAAACGGCATGCATTACAGAGTGAGACTGGTTCCTGTAGGGCAGAGGTCCCCAACCCCAAGTCAGCAACCTGCAGCCTAGACAGGCCCAGGCCCCAAACACAGATCTCCTGCTCCCCATGAGTGCCCCACCGCAAGCACAGGCGTGCACATGTGCACGAGTGCCCCGTATCACCGTACGCATGTGCACATGCACACGAGTGCCCCCACAAGCACTGCTGCGCTCCACCCCCTCCAAGCACAGCATGCACATGCATGCAAGCAGGGGGTGCAAGCGCTGCTGCGCACATGCTCCACACTCTGCAGGCGTACCACACCCCCACAAGGGTGCCACACATCCCCAACCAGTCCACAGTTCGGAAAAGGTTGAGGACCACTGCTGTAGAACACGGGTGGAACATAATAAAATAAATAATGCTCCAACCACACAGTAACACATGACCTCCCATTTGCGCCAGTATGCAAATGGATGTCTCCTAATATTGTAATCTTCTTACACATGCGCAATGAGGTCCATGATATCTCCTTGGGCAAGGCTTTAAAAGTTGAGCCACTTACAAGCTGTACATTGCACACATGCTCATCTTAAAAGGATCCTAGCCATAACAAGTTGGTCAGAGTTATCATTTACATACATTTTTAAAATAAGTAAAATTTCCAAACACAAAAATCAGCAGCAATTACTGTATATTTAATATTAAATTTCTAGCAAATAAATTACAAGCAACAGACACTAGGTAACATAAAATATTTGTCTTGAGTTGCAGATGCTTGTAGCTATCCTCCTCTCCACAATTAGGAAAACAGAGCTTTGCTGCAGTCTCAAAGGCAACTCCTAGTCCTACCTCCCATTTCCCATCTGTGTCCTCGGTCCTAAAGCTTTCCTATCTCCATTAAGTTTTAGAACAGTGAATACTCAACACGTGATTTGGAAGCTATAGTTGCTGCATCATGTCACAGAGCAAGTACTGATCATTAACCTTAACTGGCAGATCTATTAAAAGAATCTAGAATCTGAAACAGAACAGTCCATGACCCGATCCTTCCAGTCCACCTCGTCCTGTGTAACATATTAAACAGCACCAAGGCATGTCCTACACACAGAGGCGATCCAAATACTCCGCTAGGCATAATAGAAAAAAGATCCTTCTCTGTGAAAAACAAATACTGTAGCCCACACCAAGGCGCAAGCTTTTAATTCAACCTTTGCCTTCCAGGGAGATTTGATCAGTGTGTGTCGGGAGACATTAAAACATGCCATCCATCCCTCAATGGAGTTGCTCTTCTGCCCAGTCACCACTAACTATACACCATCTCCATCTGAAGATCATATCTGCAATTCCCCTGGTAGGTCAACAGCTGGAACTTTAAAAAAAAAAAGTTAAAAAAAAATATTGGGCCGCCCCTGCACCATAACCCAGTGAGTTCATGCAGAATTAATCGTTTTGCGGAAAAGTCACTGAAACCTCAACCTTCAAGCCCCCAATGAAAGCTGATAACACTTCACTAGACGGAGGATGCAACTCCCCTTTTTCCCGCGCGAGGCTCTTCAACGGTCATCCACAGCCCTCGAGCGACACGATCCCTACCTCACCTGCCTCATTGCTTAGCAACGAGAAAGGCTGGCCACGCCCACTAAGGCACCGCCAGGTCTCTAGGCTATACCAACTACGGACGAGGGGAAGGGGAAGCAAGCAAAAGCCCGGTAAGGAGGGGCGTACCATTTCCCCAAGAAGGGAAGAGGGAAGCGCAGCCTCACCTGTCCCGGAGATCCGCCTGGAGGCGACGGAGTTGCTCATCGTAGTCGTCACTACCGCCTCCAGCCGCAGAAGGCTTCCACGTCCCATGCATGGGTGCCCGCACTCGAACAAGCGCGGCAACCAGGCCTCCACGCCCTTGTTTATTTTCCGGGGTCTTTAAGCTACAAGGTTCGCTCCCGACATGCACCACGGCCAGCTCTCCTCCATCGCCGGCGCAAGCCAATCACATGCCCAGGCAAAGAGGAAAAGCCACGCCTCCTTGTAGAATGCTGAAGCAAGGGGGCGGGGAGAGGAGCAAGGAATGTTCCCAGCCGCGTGTCTTTTAATTTTCATGCCCCCGAAATGAGTTCGTGCTGAATTCAAGGGAATGTCGTCACAGGTAGGTGCGCATAACAGCAGCCTTTTTCTATATACTGAAGTAACCCGGTTTAGTAGGATTTACTTAGTAATATGGGTACGAACTCTAGGCTTAACGTTGTTTTAAATTTTACAGTTACATGAAAAACAATTGGTTTTAAAAGTGTTCCAGATTGGTTGTGTAACCTTGGTCATTAGTTTGATCCCATGCCTGTTTACTCGGAAGTTCCAGTGATTTCAGTGAAATTTACACCCAACTGAGTGTGTGTAGGGATGCTGTCTAATTCTTCACCTAATCCATCAATCACCTCAAAGACTGCTTTTACTCTGCTGGTAACTCTCTTTTCCACCCGCCCAAGAGCCTCTGTGCTCAGACTGCATAAATGCCTTTCTAAGTCTGCTGTGGAAGACTTAAATTGTTTAAGATGGAGAACCCAAATTTTCAAAGTTCTGGTTCTCATTCTTTAGGGTACCCTGAGTGAAACATCCAGGCAAGAAAAACTTAAGGTCAGCCTTCTTTGCTCCCTTCCCACAGACTGCCAGCTTTTAACTATGAAACCTTGTGTATTTTTGTCTGTTTTGCTACACATTTTGTAAATATAGCACCTCAATATGCAATATGGGTAATTCATAGGATGCTCATCCCAGGAACAAATGAGTCACAGATTTGCGAACCAAATTTTGAAAAGTTTTAACTTGGAATTTAACCAAATTTTAATTGCCATCACTAGTCAAGTCCACAGACCAAACAAGATAAAGTAGTTGGGCTTGAACTCACTGATTTCCCTGACAAAAACATGTATGGTCTCTTTGGATATCATGTCTGTAGCACATTTTTAAAATGTTTTTTCAAAATATTTTGTCCATGTTGATTTTATGTTCTGTTCAGCTTTTTTCACAAATCTATAGGTCCCCTGAATTATGTGTTCTTATGAGAAGCCACGTTTCCTTTCTGTATAGAATCAAGCTGCCTAATGCATGGAACACCAGTTGCAGAAAGCTTGGCCTTTGCTCAAACAGTATACACAAAAACATTGCTAAGAACCAGTTATCATGAAACCAAAATATTTAAGGGTCACCAGCTATGTTGTCCATCTTTTTCATTCATCAATTAACGGTAGCACAGGTGGGTAGACAGCATGCAGTAGCCACATACCACATGTTTCCAGTGCTATAGCATGATAAAAAAGCACTCCAGCTTGTGATATAACTGTGATCTGAAAATCACTTAAAATCTTTATTAATAGTTTTGTTTATTTGTTTCCTTTTTGTTGTGCAGTTTTAGTTGGAGAATTGAGAGAGACAGAAGTAACCAGAACAAGGAATTAAGTACTTTGAGATAACTGTACTTTGACACAAGTGTGTAACAATAGCAATAAAATATTATTTCAAGGAATTAGTTGTGTTAATCTGTTGAAGAAACAACAAAAAGTCCTGTGGCACCTTTAACACTAACAGATTTTGCTTGGTGTAAGCTTTTGTAGATTGTAGTCTACTTTTTTGGGTGCATTGAGCCTACCTCCAGTAGAAAGACATTTTTACATTAATAGGGCACTTAAGAGCATGAATTATAATAAAACTGCAAATGCAAAACATCTAGCAGGTTGGTGGACAATCATTGGTCCTTAAGAATCATTGACAATCCTAGAGTATGTAGATAATCTCCATGATGATTGTTGAGCTAGTCATTGCTGGCTGACAAGTTCATGCAGGTGCAGAAGAGCAACTGACACACCAAGATGAGGGAAAGATATTTAAGTGCACTGTAATTGAATAGTATGGCCCACAGTCCAATAAGTTTACATGCACATTGGTTCTCATTATGGGGGTGGGATAGAATGTAACATTAGTCATAAACCTCCAAAGGACTGGTTATGATAAACTGGGTGGGATCAGTCTCACCTACAGGTTTTTTCTTGAAATGTTAAAACAACGATTTCTGCATAATACTGAGTGACTTCCAGATGAAGACAGAAGTACCCAGTCTCATAATCCTGCTGGAAAAATTGACACACACCGTAGGGAACACTGGGTAATAGATACAGGGCAAAATCCTATTGGTTTCAATTTACACTAGTGTAATCCGGATTGGACGGTGGATATATTTACATTCCAAGGCTGTCTAAGGCTCCATTTTGCCCTGGAAAAGCCCTTGGGAGCCTCGGGACACAGTGGAGAAGCCTTTGATAGTCAAAAATTATCAGCAGTCATCTTGGTCTCACTGCCAATGATCCAGTAGCTTAAAAAAACTATTTAAGCTCCCCCACCTCCAGTGTCATTCCAGAGGCTTCCCCAAGGCCAGAGGGGCCCAAGAGAGCCTTAGAACCTGAAAGGGAGTAGGTGATTTTCCATTAATTTAAATTAAATATTTCTGGTTACACCAGCATAAATTTATTCAACAGGATTTTGCTCATAACTAAATAAGAAGCCTCTATTTTATCCAAGAGAGATGGAATCAAACCTCTTGATGTACTCTTGTTCAGCTATTTGACATCTCTCTTTGAAGTTATTTTATAGAAAAGTGTTAAAACTCTGAGGTCAGAATAAAGCCATTTTCAGTTTGTCCTAATTTCTTTCCTGAAGCTATCCAGGATTAAAAACCTTTGGCACTGGGTTTGGATGCTGAGGAAATTCCTTTAACATACCCTGAACACACACAGCAAAAAAAAAAGAAACAGTAAAGGGAAAATAAATCTAATCCATACTGGGTGGGAATGACTTACCCACTGGGATTTCTAAAGGCCAATTGCATTTCTCTGTCCTTTGGAAGAGACACATGGAATCGAAATGAGAATACACCTGCATCTTTCTTTTCTTTTTTCCTTTTACATTAAACGACCATTGGTGCAATAGGGGAGATTGTGCATCATTTGTCATATGTATTTGAACCCTGTTTTTCCTTCCAAGAAGGAAACCAAAGTGGGGGGAAATCGTCAGTTTCAAAGCACAACTAAATGTTCTGAAATATTATCCAGCAATAAAAATGGTCACTACACTGAGAGTAAATATTCAATTCAGGGCACTAATAGGGTTAATAGATGACACAAATTTTGAAAATATGTCAGAAAACAAGTGTAATCAAATTAAATATATACAGTTTTTCTACACTCCAGCAGCTGATACACTGGGCCATGTGAATATACTGTTAATGTAGCTAAATCTTAGATTCAACAGAATACAAGATGGAAACTAGAGACCTTCTATTGATGCAATAATTGTCACTGTAGCCCCAGCCGCTGCCACCCATGTGAGGGTAGCCCTATCAGTTGCATTTCTCAGTGTTGTTTTTTTTATTTTGGTGACCAATCATTTGTTTTGGCTGTTATACTGGCAATCTTATTTTTGAATGACTGTTCTCTAGTTTGTTCTTTCATTTCTTCTTGTTCTTCTAGTGGAGGTTGGATATCATGATTATTTTGACTTTGGATGTGACAACTCAAAGCAAGGATTCTGCATTGCATCCAAACCAGTATGCGAGTTTCTTTAGCCAAGACCAGATATAAGATTCTATGTGTTTTGTTTCCCATTATATGACCCAATTACTCTAGATCTCTACATTCTGTGTGTTTTATGATTTCTTGGCTTTGATTCATTCACTTTAGTACTTAGTATTAGACACCAGCTCAATTCAAGAATCCCTTAGCATCCTGCAATAAATTCCCATTTCATAGTTGCCTCTGTCAAACATCCCCAATTCTATGCTACGCATTAGAACTAAAAATGTATCGCATCACACATTATGTGTTCTCAAAGCCACCTTTGTTACATATTGCATTTAAGTTAAGAAAGCTGCATTGTTATCTATATTCGGACTTCTGTGTGGCTGTGATCCCACTATTTCAACCAGATTCCAAGGTACTTATATCTGTCAACATGCTCCACATTCATTTTGGATCTTTAACTGTTTCTTGGGCTTCTTGCTTTTTACTAACTACCATGAACGTAGCCTTTTTAATCTTCGTTTTTAGATTCTGTTCATAACATGCTGCATTGGCTTTGTTGAGTAAACTTCACAGTCTGTCTAAACAATCAGTTAGTAATGCTATACAATCAGCATATCAGATATCGGTGATAATGCCTCCCTTGAAAATGGCACCTCATTTGAACCTGAAAGTGTTTTTCTAACAGTGTTCTTGGAGTACGAATTGAAAAGCAGTGAAGAGAGTATACCGTCTTGACATACTCCTCTTTATATTTTTATCTGCTGTCCTCTGGTCTTTAACTTTCACTTCACCTTTTGGTCAATTGTACAAATATTTTGAATGAAGGCATTTGTTTACCAACCATTCCATTGCTAGTTGGGTTAGATCTTGTCAAAGGCTTTCTCACAGTAAAGTAAGCAAGCTTACATGTCTCCATAGTATCACTCCTCCAAACATGTGCAACTCTTATGTGCATAGTTCAGACTGGATAGCCTCACAGTGTCCTCGGGTTTTTGACAGTTTAGTTTAAATAATATGATGGGGAGACTGGACGAATAGGTTGGTGAATGAAATCTTACTTGCTTTACTTGCCTTATTATTGCACAATTATACACTGAAGTGAATGAAATTAAAAAAAACTTAGGGCAATCCCTGATCGTGTCAAACGTGTCCTCATAGCATGGGTTAGAAGCAGAAGGAAGAGAGGCTGCACATGCTACTTTCATACCAAACAGAGACTGCCCACCTAATGTAGTGTTCTGAGCATGATCCAGCCTGGAATATACTTATAGGGCACATAACACTCTCAGCCACTACCCCAGGCAGGTCCACTCAGGACTGAGCTAGTCTCCTCAGGAGTGGTAGAAAATGGGAACGGGTTGTGTGAGCAGGTAACACACCATTTATCAGGCTACACTTCTGCTTCCTAACCCTATCACATTTCAGAATAACCTTTAAATGTATCTGTGGTGATCCCCCTTGTTGCTCCTTTATTTCCTTTGGGCTCCACAAAGGTAAACACGCCTTTTTCCTTCTTTTCGCTGCCACCAGGTATTTCTCCTAATACCACTACAA